ACAACAGAAAATTGACATGGACCCAGAACTTTACACACCCAAGATAGAGAACGACAGCTGTGATAGAGATGTATGGAGACATCTGAGGCTCTTTATTGGACACGAAAACAACAACAACAAAAGGTAAATTCTTATTGTTTCAATTATGTTGAAAAAAAAAAGGTAAACATTTCTTTGATCCCTGAGACATTCATACTCAAGACTTTTCCTTCCTAGCTGAGCTAGAGGAATCCAACTCTTGTATTTTGGTGGTTGTATACAACGGAATTGTGTTGAGAGTTTTTTCATACAAGTGTTTTATTTTTAACGTGGACTGAGTCGTTTTAGAAATAAATCTCAACTTCAGCTGAAGAAATATTTAAATCTCTTCACCCATTCAAACCTTTTTTTTAATTCTTACATCCCTCTCTCTCTTATATCCCTCTGGCTCTTCGGCGTCGGCCTCCATCCCGAGGCAATAAATATCTCAAGTACCATCTTGGTCTTGTGTTAGGTAACACCAGCCATCACATCGACCTGCCCACTCTGTGGGAAAGAACTCTCGCAGTTCATCGGTGGCGGAGTCTTTCTCGCGGTGGGCCCAACCAATGAAGACCTTGTATATATATGTTACATAAAGATTTTATTTAGGAAATGTTATATTAAAATCATTTATTTAAAATGTTATATTGAAATATTTTGTTTAAAGATGTTATATGTTAAAATGTTATTTTATTTAAAGTTATAATTTCATTGATATAAATACTCTGTTTTAATCGACCGCCAGAGGTCACGCCTTCTTTATAAATAATCATTGTTGTTGTTCTTCCCCGGCTGGCCGACCCAAAGTTTTTGTAATTATATAAATAATCTTTTGTTTTATTTATTTATACGCCTTAAGACAGGCATTACTTTAATCAAATTATGTTATTATATATTACTTTAGCTCAAATAAAACAATCTCATATCAAAACTATTTTCATTATTTTACTTTTCAAGATTATAGCCACGACTGCATCATCAATACCATATAGTACTAAAAAGAACCAGCAAATAACTGCATTACTATAATCCTCAACATGATCTAAATTCAAGCAGAAAATATATATTTTTTATTTTAAATATAATATAAGTCGACAGGATATTTACCTGTTTATTGTTTCAAAATGACTAAAGCAAAAATTTCAAATTAAAAAAACTATGCAAATTCTTTAACTAAAAATAGTTCATTCACTAATATTCAAATTCTTCTTCAATCAAAAATAATCCGCTCCAATCAAAAACAGAAATTTCACCTACAAAAATAGCTCATTTCAATCAAAAATAGATCATTTCAATCAAAAATAGCTCATTTCAATAAAAAATAACTCATTTTAAACCAAAATAACCGATCTTCAATCAAACAATAGCCCAATTCAAGCAAAGATAGCCAAATTAAAGTCAACATGCCCATCTCCATGCGGGATTAGCCACTACAATCAAACATACCCATTTCCTACCATATCCAGCGATTTCAAGCAGCCTTCTCCCTTCCAACTCCAGCCATCGCATCTTCCGCCCAGCGTCAGTCATCTCCCGGAAAATCCACTCCAGCCATAACCATCCTTTTCAAGGTACTTTGTATCAACCATTTTTCGCAGTTTATTTTAACTTTTCAATCCTCACTCATGTTTACAATAGTTTACAATCGTTTATTTGCTTATAGTTACATATATTCCTTTTATGTCATTCTTAAATATTTTTTCCATTTAAATAGTGCCACTACTTTGAATCATTTTAAAATGCCATATTTCCTTCAAATAATTAGTTCTATATCTTTCCTAAATATATTTCCCATTCCATATACCCTTTAAACATTTGCATTTAAGTTAAACCTTTTCACCATATCATTTTTTTTTATAATTCTATATGTAAAACAGTCGGCCGGGGAGGACAACAACAACAAATTAACATATTTCTCAACATTCAATTTTTTTATTAAAAATTAGCTAAACTTTAATGTTTTTCATATTTTTCAATTTTCTTTTTCAATATGTTCAAAATTCCCTAACTTTTGATATGTTATTTTCTTATTTAATCTTGTATCAAAATATGTTTTACAAAATTTTTCATTTTTACCCCCTTTTGAATTTTTTTAAATGCCATAATTTTGTTTCTCATTTCGCCTTACAAATATGTAAATTTACCGTGGTAAACATATGTAAATTTCAACTTTTGTTTTGTTCACCTTGAATCTTTTTTTTTCAAATGACCATTCTCAATTCTTGCCATTAATTCATTTAGCTTTAACATTATAATCATTTATCTTTATGTTCATTCCTTGTTTTCACATTTGCTTTTTGTACATAAACTTTTGTCTCAACTTATTGCCTTTTCTCATAAATGCCTTTTTCTTATAATCATCAAATGTTTTTAGCATTTCCATATATCTTTGCCAATTATTTTTTTATATTGTTTTCTATGTTTTTCTTCTTTATTTTTCATTCACATACTTTTGCAATTATTTTGTTTTTAATGTTATCTTTTCTTTAAATTTTCCGTCCTCATTTTTGATGTTATATATGTGCATTTTTTCTTGCTCTTTCCAATCTGTTGGTTAATAACAAACCAATATGATTAGGGAATATCACATTTTTACTCTTCACCATATTTTTGTTATCATCATTCACACTTGTAATTTCCAATCTATTGGTTAACAATAAACCAATATGATTATGGATTATCACATTTTTATTTTCACTTGCTCCCAATTGTTTTGTTATTATTCATTTTTATCATTTATATAATTTTGTACTTTCCTGTCTATTGGTTACCATATTTAAAACCAATATGATAAGTGAATATCACCTCTCACATTATTTTCTTTCCATAAATCATTTTATCTTTTTTTTAACAATATTTTTTTTATCACTTTTCTCTGAATGAACCCATGTTATTTTCTTCACAGGGGGGAAATGTTACATAAAGATTTTATTTAGGAAATGTTATATTAAAATCATTTATTTAAAATGTTATATTGAAATATTTTGTTTAAAGATGTTATATGTTAAAATGTTATTTTATTTAAAGTTATAATTTCATTGATATAAATACTCTGTTTTAATCGACCGCCAGAGGTCACGCCTTCTTTATAAATAATCATTGTTGTTGTTCTTCCCCGGCTGGCCGACCCAAAGTTTTTGTAATTATGTAAATAATCTTTTGTTTTATTTATTTATACGCCTTAAGACAGGCATTACTTTTGTCAAATTGTTTTATATATATTCCATGGGTTCACAATTAAAACAATATCTGATCAAGACTATTTTTATTATTTTACTTACAAGATTTTAACCACGACTGCACCACCATAGCTTAATCCTCAAGATAAACAAAATCAAGATGATCCAATATCAAGCAGAAACTCAAAAATATTTTTTTAAAATTAATATAATATATATACACTGCGTGACATTGAAAATGGAACACCAAGAAATAGTGGCCAGAAAGTGAGGAAACTCGGCAGACAGAGAGAGACAGGGACGAACAATTAGTGATCTTTATTTCAAAATGATAGTCATAATACAGAGCGAGAACGGCGTCGGCTTAGTAGCAAGTAGGACCACCGCGGACGGCGATGCACGCAGCAACACGTCTAGGTAGAGAGTCAATCAGAGTACGGATGGCGTCCTGAGGGATGACTCTCCATTCCCTCTCAACCATTTGCCACAGTTCGTCTTCTGAACGCGGCTGTGGCAAGGCATGCAAACGGCGTCCAATGATGTCCCAGACGTGCTCGATTGGTGAGAGATCAGGAGAGTACGGTGGCCAGGGAAGCATCTGTACATCTTGCAGAGCTTGTTGGCTAATGCGAGCAGTGTGCGGTCGGGCGTTATCCTGCTGATAAAGGGCATTGGGTACCCCCTGAAGGTAGGGGAGTGTCACCGGTCGCAGCACATCATCAACGTATCGTTGGGCCGTCATAGTGCCCTGAATACGAAGTAAAGGTGACCTGGAATCATACGCGATTGCGCCCCAAACCATGATTCCACGTTGTCGCACGGTGGGGCGTTCCACAATTGCTGCCGGATTGTACCTTTCTCCACGTCGACGCCACACGCGTACACGGCGACTATCACTGGACAAGCAGAAACGCGACTCATCTGAGAACACGACCCTGTGCCATTCCGTCATCCACGTCGATCTAGCCCGGCACCATTCCAAACGTTGGCGCCTATTCGGTGGGGTCAATAGCAGTCTTCTTAGCGGACGGCATGAGTGCAAGCCATTAGCAACCAATCGACGGGAAATGGTTCTGGTCGAGATGGAATGATCTAGGGTGTCTTGCACATGTTGCAGGATGGCGGTACAAGTGGCTTGTGGGGCCGCCACTGCTTGTCGAAAGATACGCCGATCCACACGTGCTGACGTCACTCTGGTTGCACCGACATTCCTATAAATTGCCACATTTCCTTGTTCCAACCATCTTCTCCACAGTCGGTGCACCGTGGACGCACCAAGGTGTGTATCAGCTGCGATTTGACGTATGGACCAACCTGCCCTTTTCAGTCCGATCACCATGCCCCTCGTAAAAGCGTCTGTCTGCTTGAACTGCCTCCGTTTACGATGACCTGGCATTCTCTGTTATTACACGTGTCTTTTGACACAAGAACAAAATTTCTACAATGATTTTCCTTGAAGAAATAACGACACGAATACTGTCCTTTCTGCAAGTTCCTTCCCTTATATCTTACTCCATGTGCGCACGAGAGCTGCGCATTTTACATCATTTGCATAACTCGGTTAGGCGCGTCTACCCTGAAATTTGCATAATTTTCTGGCCACTATTTCTTGGTGTTCCATTTTCAATGTCACGCAGTGTATATATGTAAAACGACACTTGAAGTTACACTGCATGAGTTTCTTTTTGAACGAAAAATCAAATTTTTATTTCAAGGTAAAATATCGACCATTTTAAACCTTTTTGGATGAGGCATGAAAGGGTGAATTATGAAGAGTAATGACGAACGAAAAAATCAAAGTGTCAGGGATGGAAATCGAACCCACAATGTTCCGCTTACCGGGCAGATGCCATGTCCACTAGGCTACCCTGGACGTATTTTTCCGTTCGTAAATAATACATTATTATGTATTTTTTCGTTCGTAAATAATATTGTGGGTTCGATTCCCATCCCTGAAACTTTTATTTTTCCGTTCGTCATTACTCTTCATAATTCACCCTTTCATACCTCATCCAAAAAGATTAAAAATGGTCGATATTTTACCTTGAAATAAAAATTTGATTTTTCGTTCAAAAAGAAACTCATGCGGTGTAACTTCAAGTGTCGTTTTACAATCACAGGCCGCAGTGTATTATAATATTGTGGCGAAGAAATATTTTATTATTTAATTTAATATTATTCAATGAAAATATATTCAACAGATTATAAAAATATATATTAATCTGTATTTGTGAAATCATCTTTAAAAATATTTCTTTGCTTGCTTGCTTAAGATTCTCTAGCTGTAAATAGTGGGGCTGACTTGTTAATAATTGTCGACTCGTCGCTGTGACATCATCAATAAATACTTTTACATTTTAGGATATTTCAAGGCTTGATTTCTACGCTACAACTGGTGGAGAAGCTGGACCGATACCCATTAAGAAATAAAAGAAAAATTGATTCTGTTGAACCAGAAGAAACTTCTATGAATGTAAAGAAGGAAGGTACCCAGGTAAGCAACTACGTTGTTCAACATCTGCCAAGGAACCCTTCCATTTTCTCCGGGGAGGATGGTGAAGATCTCCAAAAATGGTTAAAAGGGTATGCACGTGTGGCAAAGTACAACCATTGGGATGAAACCCTTTGTCTTACTAAAGTTTATTTTTATCTTTCTGGAACTGCTCTCAAATGGTTTGAGAACAACGAAGAAAGCATCCAGACTTGGAAGGAATTCACATCTCAATTAGAGAATGTGTTCGAAAAAAAAAGAAAATTCAAAATTGCAAGCGGAGAAGAAACTTAAAATACGGGCACAATTAAAAGGTGAAAGTACCGAATTTTACATCCAGGATGTCCTGTGCTTGTGCAAAGAGGCTGATCTTCAAATGAGCGAGGAAGATAAAATCTCCCAACTCATGAAGGGGATAGCTGGAGAGCTTTATCAAGCACTCCTACCGAGGGATGTACAGAGCACCGAGCAATTCATTACAGAATGTCGCCGTGTCGAAGCGCTCCGTTGTAGGCGAGTTACCCCAACCAGGTACGAGCTCCTACCAAATGTAGCCTCTCTCTGTGACCAGGATGACGGAGAAGATCTGTCATCGCTGATCCGAAAAATTGTTCGTGAAGAGATACAACAAGCATTGGACTCTCCTCATGAGGAGCCTAAAATCGCTGTCATTGAAGATTTAGTGAGGGAAGAGATTGTAAAGACCTTGGCACCTAGATCAAAACCTACAATAAGTCCCCCTCAAGCATCCAGGCCGGAACCAAATACTAGATACGAGGCCCAAACGATACGACCGCATCCTGAACCTCATTACCGAAAGCAAGGAAAAAGATGTGACACCAATGAATGGCGGACAACTGAGGGAAAGCCAATCTGTTTCTACTGCGGACGCCCAGGTCACGTCGTCCGCTATTGCCGCGACAGGAAGAGACACAATGAGGAGAGGAGAAATGAATATTTCCGAAGAAAGCAAGACGCAATGGAATTCTACAACTCTCAAACCGAATCTCAGGAACCCAACGATGAATCATCGGGGAAAAATTTCAGTCGCTACCGAAGCCCTACCCCATATACCGGCCGAAACAGACCAAATTTCTCACCTGCTAGAAGATCTAGCTGGTCGCCCCCGCCATGAAAATTAGATGATAGACCATATTGGAGGTGAGGCCGCAAAGTTAGGAAATCTTACCTTGCCGACCACAGTATAAATAGGAAAAACTACATTGACGTAAATATAGACCTGCCAAGCCCTCAGGAAGAAGACATCTCAACTGAAAGAAGACATCCACCGCAGTCACCTGAAAATATCCCTGGCCCTAGTACTATGTAGTTATTGAGACTGACGACGTAAGTCTCCTGCTGAGGTCGATGCTCTTTATAGGAGGAGGCTATGTGGCGAAGAAATATTTTATTATTTAATTTAATATTATTCAATGAAAATATATTCAACAGATTATAAAAATATATATTAATCTGTATTTGTGAAATCATCTTTAAAATATTTCTTTGCTTGCTTGCTTAAGATTCTCTAGCTGTAAATAGTGGGGCTGACTTGTTAATAATTGTCGACTCGTCGCTGTGACGTCATCAATAAATACTTTTACATTTTAGGATATTTCAAGGCTTGATTTCTACGCTACAATATATATGTTTATTTATCAATTACTTTATCTATTTATTCTCATATATTTATCATTATTAATCTTATTTATACATTTTATGTATTTAACCTTATATAATCTTATATGGACGTTATAATAAATCTGTTTCAATCTCAATCTCTCTCTTATTCTCTCCACATTTTTTCTCTCTCCCTCTCACCTAGACCCGGGGATACTCAAAGCAATAACACGCCATCTATATATAACAAATTAAAACATTAAGACTCGAATGTTTTTTTTCACAAATAAATTAAACTTCTACTGTCCTTACTGCGATGAAAAAATATTGGGAGGGCTTGGCTCATCAGTGGTGAACCCTCCCAGTGGTTTCGCTAATTTAATCCACCAGACCGCTCCTATAGAGCTCTAATACTGTATTGGATCATTCTGTTTATATATGCTACATTGAAGGGTGGAATCTTAGAAATAGTATTTAAGTAAACGATGGATAGTAGAATTACAATTAAATATTTACATCGAGCAATGCTCTTCCGTAAACAATAATTTCATTGCAGCAAGGACAGTAGAAGTTTAATTTATTTGTGAAAAGAGACATTCGCGTCTTGATGTTTTAATTTGTTGTTGTATCTGTGTTGTAGCTTTGATGGCATTTGTTTGTCTGGTAACTTACCACACAGTGAACAGACTGCGGTAGTGGGACCCCATGTCTTAATGGACAATTACTTGAAGTAATCTGATTTTGCTGCTCCATGGAATGAGGGGATGAATATCCTATTATTTGTTTGGGCAGGTACGATAAGCCAAACCCCCACACCGATAAAACGGTGTTTACCTTACAACTCTGAACACTCGGATTTTCTTGGAAAATCTCTTAAAGATTTCTTGAAAAAAGCCATGGTCCACCTGTGCTGTGTGAGCAAAAGAGCTTAAATTGACTTGTTCCATTATATGTATGTTCCATATGTAAATACCTGTTTTCTTTCCTCTTTTAGCTCTCCACTTCTCCCACCCATATTTCCAAATCCATATTCTTATTTTCCATAGGATTATTCAAATAATAATCTGTATATATTTACCATGTGTATATAATCTTTATCCATTTTTACCCCTTTGTATATTTCCCACTTTCATGGGTTTCTTCGTCTTGTGACCCCAAGGAGAATCCTCTGTAAGACCTGTGTGTCTTAATAAAGGTTTGTGTGTGTGTGTGTGGAATGATGGGGTGCCATTGCCCCGTTAGTCAGCCATATTTCAGAATTCCCTGTAATTGTAATTTTCCCCTGTATTGGACAAGACACCACCACTTGAAGTATTCAGATATAAAAAATTGTGATATACTTTTATAAAAATATATATAAAAAAACATACGCAATAAGAAAAATGTTACAAAAGTGAATTTACACTTGGATCAGGTGGATAAATTTAGAAAAAGAGAATTTCCTGATCGTGTAACTAAAAGTTCCGATAGATGGCGCAAGCCATCAGCAACACGATCAGGAAATGTCCCTTTTCTCAACTTACGCAATAAGTTTATTTATTACAAAAACAATGCGAGCTTTCGAGATTTCGGCCTTTAACAAGCGAATTTACAACTGAGAGTGATCACGGGGAGTGGGGTGGGTTATACTAAATGATGGCTGTTTAATCTAGATTTGGAAGTATGACAGAATGGTTCTTTGGGATGTCTGTAATCAACAGTAGAGTAGATATCCCAGAACAATTCTGTCATACTTCCAAATCAAAATTAAACAGCCATCATTTAGTATATCTCGACCTCCTCTCCGTGATCATTCTCAGATGTAACTTCGCCTGTTAAAGGCCGAGAGCTCGAAAGCTCGCATTGTTTTTATGATAAAAAAAACTTATTGCGTAAGTTGAGAAAAAGGGTATTTCTTGGTCGTGTTGCTGATGGCTTGCGCCATCTATCGGAACTTTTAGTTGCACGATCAGGAGATGTCCTTTTTCTCAATTTATCCACCTGATCCAAGTACAAATTCACTTTTGTACTGAACGCCAACCTTTATCAAGGTATAATAACATTTTAATGTGTGTCAACAACAAACTCAGCGCCACATAACGTCAATAGAATTAAGTTTTAAAATATACACGTTTTATATTATATAAAGGGAGAGGTATAAGTACAAGAATATCATCCTTCCGCAACATTATGTTATATTCTTGTCTGAAAATCGACACTTACCATTTCACCAGTCTAGCTGTTTGGTAAAATTCGACCGATTTTATAAATTCTCTCATAGGATGTTATGAAATGGAAGCCGTCCCTGTACTGATGAGGGCCATAGCCTGAAACCATGGTATACAGGTTGTTGGTTGTTGTCCGAATTTGTTAAAACTGGTGTTGTGGCTTATTCTTTATTATCAATAGTAAAGTTTTTTACTAGAGCAATAAGACAGTGCATCGTTCTGATGTATAATCAGGGGGTTTGGTCAGGACGTGTGGTCCAAACCGTCGATTTCCGACAGCTACGACCCGGGATTGAATCCCTCATTGGGCACATTATTTTTTTCTTAATAAAAATTGCTCCAATGGCTCCCGATTCTTGTAAAAGCTCAACTTTATCAGTGAATGCAAGTAAAGAAACGTGGCAACTGTCCCATTTGTAAGTGTATTTTTTATTATTATCCCTGGCCATGATAATCATGGTGGGTAGTTAGCGATTGCTTTTACTGTAAGTGCACATCATGTTTACACATGTGAAAAGCAGTTTTTGCACTTACAAATGTTCGAATCCTGCATTGG